AGAGTCGTTTAAAAGAACAATATTTCAAAGATCACGAAAGTGTCACAACAAAAGAGGTTCAAGAAGTGTTTTTAAATTTGCCTAATGACGCTGTAGATAAAGATATTGTGAATATAGGCATAATTTATTTGATTACATCATTTCTATTTGGTACATCCTATCATAAAGGAGTTGATGACTCATTTTTTTGCCTTGTGGAGTCTGAGGATTTGAATTCTTTTCCATGGGGTATAGCAATTTTTAGTATGACTTTATCATCCCTAAAGAGTGCATTTAATCAGAAAATGAAGAATATTTTTATGAAAAAGAAGTTTTTGGAGTATAGATTGAATGGCTTCCTAGTTTCGTTTCAAGTATGGATATATGAAACAATTCCTGCTATTGCTCAGAAAAATTACTGCATGAAGCATGAATCTCAGCATCCTCGGATGTTGAGTTGGAGTAGCAATCAACATGTGACATCTGTGGGGTTAAGGAAGACCATTTTTGATTTGATTAAAGTAAGTTTTTTGCCATTTTATTGTTTATATTATGTCTTTAGTCTATCTTTTGCTGTTATTGATATGATTATTTATTTTTCAGTTGGAAGTGAATCAAATTGTGCCTCTTGAGGCTGAGAAGGGAGAAGAGTATGTGGTTGGTTTATTTGTTGAAGGTTTGAGTGGTGACCAGGATGATGATAATTTTGAGCATCCTGTTGTTGGCCTGAAAAGGTTAATAGATGAAGGAAAAATAAAATTTGTCGACCGAGCTGAAAGGTCTAAAGAAAAGAAAAACAAAGAGAAGATTAATGAGGTTTGTGGGTATTTTTTCTTTTTATTATTTTCTGTTCATCATGCTCGAAGTTTTTTCAAAGGTTCTTATTATTTTGCATTCTTTTCAGTAAATCTAGCAATCAATTGAAAAAGTTTTGAGACGGCTATCCGAGGTTGAACTGAAATTTGTTCAATCAAATGATGTGATTTTAAAACGAATCTCAGATCTTGAACGTAGAATGCAATCAAATCCAATTGAGAATCGGCTAAAAGATGTTGAAGAAAGGATTAAAACAAATGAAGAAGTGATGTAGCGTCTTCAAATTTTGGAATGCAAAGTAGAGAAGATGTTAGCTGGTAATGAAGGACAGATGAAGGTATTCAAGAGTTATTGAGTTTAGAATTAATACTTGCGACTTTTTGCTGAATTTTGTTACTTTTTTAAGTTATTGTCACTTTTTGATGATCTTTGTGACTTTTTTGTAGGATGATGTTGAGAGTTTACCTGATGACACGGACCAGGTGTTAGCTGGTAATGAAAAAGAAATGAAGGTATTCAAGAGTTATTAAGTTTAAAATTCATACTTGCCACTTTTTGCTTAATTTTGTTACTTTTTAAAGTTATTATCACTTTTTGATGATCTTTGTGACTTTTTTCTAGGATGGGGTGGAGAGATTACCTGATGAAATAGACAAGATGTTAGCTGGTAATGAAGAACAAAAGAAGGTATTCAAGAGTTATTGAGTTTAGAATTCATACTTGCAACTTTTTGCTGAATTTTTTTACTTTTTTAATTTATTGTCACTTTTTTATTATCTTTGTGACTTTTTTTGTAGGATGGTGTGTAGAGTTTACCTCATGAAACAGACCAAGTGTATCATGACTTTCCTAATTTTTCTTTAGGTATTGAGTTTGAATTGAGTTGTGGGGAAAAAGATGTAGAGGTACCTGTCAAAAAAAGTGACAAGTCAGTTGAAAAAAGTGACAAGGCAGTGGAAAAAAGTCTCAGAGCAGTGGTAAAAAGTGATAAGGCGGTTGAGATGAATTTGAATGAAGAAATAGAATTTCATGAAGATGATTGGTTAAGAGTTGATGATATTGTTGCTCGTAGTTTAGCAAAAAATCAAGAAATACTTGTATTTTCATTCCATCATCTTTTTCGTCATAACTTGTGTATGTTTTTACATTAATATAATTTGAATTTGTGTTATTGTTCATGTCCCAGGATGTTGAATCACCATGTAATAAAGGCAGAATTGATTTGTTGGAGGAGGTTGAACTGAAAGATGATGTTTGGGAGAAAGTTGTGGAAGTAACGGCTGCAATTGAAGCTGAAACTGAAATTGAAGAGGGAAATGTTCAAATCATTGATATTGATTATTAGACCCCAGACATTCATCTGAAAAGACAAAAGAAACCTGGAGTGCTTCTTCAGTTCCCCTGGGTCAATGAATTTGATTCTACATCGGGGACTAAAAAACGTGTTGTTAAAGGTACTTTTTCATTCCCGGTTGGTGTTGGCCCTCCAATGGCACATGATGTTGATGCTTTTGAGATTTGGTTTAACAAGGGATTGGTAAAGAAGAATAAGCAAGTTGTTACTAATATATGTTGTTTGTGAATTTTTTCCAATACAGTAACTTTCATGTGACTTTTTCCATTTTGTTATGTAAGAAAAAACATTTCAATGATGAAAATTCTGTTATCAATCCATGGTTTTATTTTTGTGACATTGCAATCTCTACAAAACAGTGGTGGTATGAGTTGTTTACTCCAAATGAATGTTTGGAAGATACAGTAAGTTATTTTATATGCTGGTGTTTTTACGATTATTTTGTTTATTTTTTATTACTATTGTTGATTTTGTCACTTTTTTCTTTTTTTGTAGCATATTGATGTGTGTTTCTATTATTTAAGAAAGTTGTTAAGATATGGAGAAGGGATAAACATAAAGGCTACAATCACAGATTTTCCGTTTGATAGCCAAATGAGAGGTCTTTACGCCGACTTTTGCCAAGATAAGTCAACTCTAAAAAAGTAGACTTCTCTTCTATCATATGTTATTGAGTTGTATATGCCGTGCAACACAAATTGGAACCTTGTTGACCACATGCTTATTCCAATTAGAATATCCAATTCAACTCATTGGATTTTGTGTCATTTTTGACATTCAACATATGTGTCTTAATGTATATAATTCGTACAACAAGGTTGTGAGAAAGGCATTAGTACTTGAGGCTATTAAACCATTTTCTAATATTATTCCTCATCTTCTCTTTCATACTGCCTTCTTTGAGGAAAAGGGTAATTCAGAAGAAGAAGTTTTGAAACCATTAGTTGTAAAAATGGTTCCAAAACTTCCCCAACAAAATAATGGGTAAGTTTATTTCTGAAGAATTTTTTTTTCATTTGACATTCTAGTATGTAATTATTTAAAGTACTTCTCATTATTTCATGCAGTGGAGATTATGGAATCTATGTAATTAAGTATGCTCAATACTTCATTAATGGAATGTTAAATGAGATGCCAAAGTCTTTTAATGTTCTACATCTTAGAAAAAATTTGGCAGCTCAACTATATGCTTATGGAAAGAAGAAGCAAGAAGAGGAGATGGAGTAGCTATATCCTGATATGATAGAGAAGTAGGTGATCTTGATGTGATAGAGAAGTAGGTGATTTTGAGGAAGTGAAGAAACATGTCTTGTTTTTGTAATGACATGCCTTCATTTGTAATGACTGATTTAATTTAGCTGGTAGTGGATGCTTTGTATATAATAATTGATTTAGGGAAAAGTGGCAATGTTAATGGTGGTAGACAACTACAATTGTTAATGACCGATTCTTTTACAACATCAATGGAGCAGAGATTGGTGATGTAGCTTCGATCATGCTTTAAACACAATAGTTTCTTGTATGTCAAAAAATTGACATAATGTCACTTTTTCAACAAAAAAGTGACAATGCGTCACCTTTTTACCCTTATGGATCTCTTGCTTTTGCTTCACTATGCTTCGCTGGACTAAGCCGAAATGAGTCTTTTTCGTCTTAGCTTGAAGATTTATTAGAACTTGAGTTTGAGTTAGATTTATTAGAGAGAACTTGTACTAAGCTCTAAAGAAAAGCAATTAAGCTCGTGACTCCCGGGTAGGGGGCACGAGCGAAGGAGCTCCTCACTAAGAGCTGGTGACCATGAAAAAAGTGACACTGCGTCACTTTTTAACAGTGTCACTTATTTTTTAACAAAAGCAGCATTATTTGTGAAATTTTGAACACACTTACAATGTCAATGGAGGAAGGAATAATGTCACATTTCTAACAATATGTTACCTGACTATAGCTTTAAACACAAATGTCACTTTTTCGATAGAAAAGTGAGATAATGTCACTTTTTCAATAGAAAAGTGACACTGCTTCACTTTTTTTAATAGTCACTTATTTTTTAACAAAAGCAGCATTATTTGTAAAATTTTGAACACACTTACAATATCAATGGCGGAAGGAATAATGTCACCTTTTTAACAATATGTCACCTGACTATAACTTTAAACACAATAGTTTCTTGTATGTCGAAAAAGTGAGATAATGTTACTTTTTCAATAGAAAAGTGACATAATGTCACTTTTTCAACAGAAAAGTGACACTACGTCACTTTTTTTTAGTAGTGTAAATTTTTTTTTAACAAAAGCAGCATTATTTGTGGAATTTCGAACATTCTTACAATTTCAATGGAACAAGAAATAATATCACATTTTTAACAATATGTTACCTGACTATAGCTTTAAACACAATAGTTTCTTGTATGTCAAAAAAGTGACATGATGTCACTTGTCAATTAACCAAATGTGGATCCAATGTCAATGGAGTATGAATACATTGTCACATGAACATACTTACAACAAAGAAATTTTTAACAAAATCCATCAATTTCTACTGTCTAACAAATTCACATACACAATAAATTTCAAAATCGACATTTAGCTTAAAGTATTTTGCAATTCTTAGAATATTTGAATTGAAAAACGAACAAAACAAAAAATATCAAATAATCTAGTTTCATGTATCTTCTAACTTCCTTTTCTTTTGTGGTTTTTTTTCTCCTTTGGTGGATTTTGACATGATCTACGATTGTGACCATAATTTCCACATCTTCCACATTTTGCGCTTTGAGTTTTCTCTCCTTTTGATGGTATTCTTTTTTTTTTGGTCGTCCAGATTTTCTTTTTGGGTTAGGACCCAACATTATTCATGCTCTTACCTCATCTGGTACATTCCACTCATTATAATTTCCTAGTGGAAAAATTGATGCACTATATGTTTGAATATACATATTTGTTATATAAAATACCAAACAATATGAATATGAATCCTCCTTTATCTTTGCAATAACCGCAAGTGCATGTGCACATGGAATCCTGTCGACTTGAAATTGATTGCATGTGTATGTTCTTTCTTCCATGTTCACCAAATATGAGGCACAACCATCATTAACTTGGTACAATATTGAACTTAAAGTTGATACCTATGTACATAATATAACAAAATAATCTATCGATAAATTTGTCACTATTTTATATGAAAGGAAGATTTAAAGTGAAAATTCAATATGAATAGAGGATACAAATCATGTTACAATAAAAAATCTTGATGTGTAATAACAAAACAGCAAGTTTATAACTTTTTACCTTCATTTTCTTTGACTCCACAAAATTTTCTCTCAGTTTTTTCTCTTGCTTGGTGGCAAGTATTGTGAAGGTTGCTCGTGCATCATTTATATGATTCACAAACCATTCTTGTAACAAATATCTTAACGATTCCAATAAAGACTCTATTGGACAACCTTTCATTGCTTTTGTTACTGAATTTACCGATTCAACTATGTCTGAAGTCATTGTAGAATCTGTTGCTTGTCATGTAAGCCCTTAACCATTTCTCATAACCAATATCTTTCTGCACAAAAAAGATTCAAAATATTAACAAAAAAAGTGACTTCCTATCTTGTTTTAGACTTACTTTTAACAAGACGTATCAACACATACAAACTTTTTAAATAAAAAGTGATATTATGTCACTATTAACAAAAAAATGACATTCTGTCACTCTTTGATTGAAAAGTGACAGAATGTCACTTTTTGTTTAAACTCACTTTTAATAAAAAGTATCAACACATACAAATTTTTCAAACAAAATGTGACATATCATGTCACTATTAACAAAAAAGTGACGTTCTGTCACCCTTTGGTCGAGAAGTGACAGAATGTCATTTTTTAAACAAAACGTGACATTAATTATTATAGAAGTTAACAATGAGAATATACTAAATGTGATTGAATCCCTGTATTGATTTCATCAAGTTGTTTCAAATGGAACTCAAAATCAGTCTTAGAATATGCTCTTACAGCCCTATTGAAATGTTCTGCAATATTCTTTCCCCCTTTTTTCCCACCAAAAGAAGACTTCAAGTTCTTTAGTAAGTGATAGGAACATAATCTGTGCATTGCATTCTCATACACTTTGTGAATTGCATTTTTTATGCTTATATGTCCATCTGAAATTATACACAAACATTCTCGCTCACCATATGCTTCTTTTTTAACATACTTAAAAACCACTCCCAAGAATCATCAGTTTTTAAATCACCAACTCCAAATGCTAATATAAAGATACTATTATTGGCATCTTGCGTACATGCAGTGAATAGTGTTTCGCCATAGTTGCCTTTTAAGAATGTAGCATCTATTACTATAATTGGTCTACAATACTTCCACCCTTGAATAGATACTCCTAATGTCATGAAGAGGTACTTGAATTTGTTGTCCTGATATGTCTCAATTTTTGTAATTGATCCAGGATTTGTTTGTTCTATCATGTACAAGTATTCTAAAAGCTTTTCATATGACTCTGTGGGATCTCCTCTCACTAATTCCAATGCTTTCTCCTTAGATCTTCAAACTTTCTCATAGCTCATCGACACTCCATAGGTATTCATCATGTCATTTATAATGTCTGCAAGAGTGTATGTTGTTTTTGTTGAGATATACTTGTACATGATGAATTCTCCTACTATTGAGCTGGTTGTTTGACGATGATCTCCCAAAATGATGTTATTTGAGCATATATGGTCATTTTTTATATACCTTACCTTGAACATATCGGTTCCACCAAGTCTTGAAGCTCTAAAAGTCCATTTACACTTATCATCAATACATTTCAACACATACTCTTTCTTGTTCGACTTACTTACCTTGAATTGAAAGTTATTGTGTTTCGCATATATCGAAATACTTTTCTTAACCAATGTCTTGTTCCTGAACACTTTATCTTTTGAAATTCCATCCATAGTGACCATTGAAATGATATCACTTCCTCCTTCATTCGTTGTTTCTCCAACTTCAGACATATTGTTGTATACATCAATCGCAATTTCTTCCATACTAGGTAATTTTTGAGCTGATGTCACAGAATTATCAGTTACAGCTTCACAAAACTGCAATTATAGCATATCATTTTTTTCATAGTTGACAGCCTCCAAACATTGCATATTATTAACAAATTCAATTTCGTGATTTTTTGATACCGTTGACACATCTATGCACAATGAAAAGCTTGTAAGATCTTTATCCTTTCTCTTCAACTCCAAATAAAATGTTAGTGAAATATCATTCGAAATCTCCATTAAAGGCATGTTTTTCTTCACTCTATATTGTATTTTTATTCTCTGAGTTGATGCACTTACTTTCATCACAGAACATATCATGCACTCAAAGTGGTTGTACGTGTAATCTATCGGGGGGAAACAACAATTTCAGTCATTTTGTCACTTGTGTACTCATTATCTTGTGTCCACTTGCCTCCATAACAAATGAAGACATTGATTTTATCCATACTTACAAAAATATTACAAAGAGATTGTGTGAGTTTTTTTTTCTTTTTTTTTTTAAGTGACCGAGTAATATGCATCTAGTTATTTGGCCAAAAAGTGATTCTGTGACTTTTTTTGAAAAAAGTGATAGCATGTTAATTTTTCACATTCTCCTTTACAAACACCATGCATGCATCAATGTACTTGATTCAAAGTTTTCTTTTTCATGTTTATTACTAGAAAATCGGGCTTGAATATGTATCTTAATAATTCCAAAAATGCACAGGAATGCAATAACATATTTGGCCAAAAGTGATGCTGTAACTTTTTTTTGAAAAAAGTGACAGCATGTCAAATTTTCACTTTCTCCTTCATCAAACACCATGCATGCATCAATGTAATTGATTCGAAGTTTTCTTTTTCATATGATAAAGCGTGACTATTTTGGAAAAAAGCAACAGAATGCCACTTTTTCGGAGAAAAATGACACAATGTCACTTTTTTTGGGAAAAAGTGATAGAATGTCACACTCTTCATGAGCAAACACATTACATGCATCCATGCAGTGGATTCAAAGTTTTTTTTCTCTTATGTAATACCAGAAAATAGGGTATGAATTGGTATGTTCAAACTTTCAGAAAAGCACACGTATATATTCGGTTAATTACTCCAATGATAAAATGTGACTGTTTTGGAGAAAGGTCACAGAATGTTACTTTTTCGTAAAAAAATGAAACAATGTCACTTTTTTTTTAAAGAAAAGTGATATAATGTCACCCTCTCCATGTGCATTCATGTAATTGATTCAAAGTTTTTATTTTCATATGTATTCTCGGATAAGAGGGCATGAATTGGTATGTTTAAACTTTCAAAAAAGCACACGTATGCATTCGGTTAATTGTTTCAATAATAAATGGTGACTGTTCTTGTAGAAATGTAACAATGTCACTTACACAATGTCACTTTTTTTAGAAAGGTAACATAATGTCACTCTTCATGATCAAACATCTTGCAAGCATCCATGTAGTCGATTCAAAATTTTCTTTTTCATATGTATTACCAAAAAACAAGGTATGAATTGGTATATTCAAACTTTCAAAAAAGCAAATGTATACATTCGATTAATTGCTCTAATGATAAATGGTAACTGTTTTGGAGAAAGGTCACAAAATGTCACTTTTTCTAAGAAAAGTGACAGAATGTTACTTTCTCACCTTCTTCTTTGAGCAAATACATTGCAAGCATCAATGCAATTGGTTTAAAGTTTCTTTCTCATGTGTATTACCAGAAAATAGGGCTTGAATATGTACGTTCAAATTTCCAAAAACTCACACGTGCATACCTAGCTAATTGCTTAAAAGAAATGCTGTGACTTTTTTTTTTTTGAAAAAAAAGTGATAGAATGCCACTTTTTCACATTATCTTTTTGTCAAACACCTTGTAAACATCAATGTAATTGATTTAAAACTAATTTTTCATACACAATCCACTCAACTTCAACAATTTTATTTTCATAAATGTTAATTCAAACAAAAACGAGATAGATAATGAGCTATAATCATGGAATCCAAAATATAGAAATACCTATAATTTTGTTTGTCTTTTTGTTGTTGATCTGCTCGACTTTTTTTCGAAATTTTTCAACGTTTTTGTGGATAGTTTCCTCGATTTGAAAAATGAACAAACTTTGTTTATGTATTTGTGGAAGATTTCCTCTTTTTCCTTTCAATTTTCCTTTGATTTTTGCACATTGGAGGCTGATTTATGAGGATTGTCGTGAGTTTAGGTTTTGAGCGTATATTTTACGTTCAATTTTAAGTAATTACCATTTAATCCAAGTTTATAATTATATTTGGTTAATTACTCCAATGATAAAATGTGACTGTTTTGGAGAAAGGTCACAGAATGTTACTTTTTCGTAAAAAAATGAAACAATGTCACTTTTTTTTTAAAGAAAAGTGATATAATGTCACCCTCTCCATGTGCATTCATGTAATTGATTCAAAGTTTTTATTTTCATATGTATTCTCGGATAAGAGGGCATGAATTGGTATGTTTAAACTTTCAAAAAAGCACACGTATGCATTCGGTTAATTGTTTCAATAATAAATGGTGACTGTTCTTGTAGAAATGTAACAATGTCACTTACACAATGTCACTTTTTTTAGAAAGGTAACATAATGTCACTCTTCATGATCAAACATCTTGCAAGCATCCATGTAGTCGATTCAAAATTTTCTTTTTCATATGTATTACCAAAAAACAAGGTATGAATTGGTATATTCAAACTTTCAAAAAAGCAAATGTATACATTCGATTAATTGCTCTAATGATAAATGGTAACTGTTTTGGAGAAAGGTCACAAAATGTCACTTTTTCTAAGAAAAGTGACAGAATGTTACTTTCTCACCTTCTTCTTTGAGCAAATACATTGCAAGCATCAATGCAATTGGTTTAAAGTTTCTTTCTCATGTGTATTACCAGAAAATAGGGCTTGAATATGTACGTTCAAATTTCCAAAAACTCACACGTGCATACCTAGCTAATTGCTTAAAAGAAATGCTGTGACTTTTTTTTTTTTGAAAAAAAAGTGATAGAATGCCACTTTTTCACATTATCTTTTTGTCAAACACCTTGTAAACATCAATGTAATTGATTTAAAACTAATTTTTCATACACAATCCACTCAACTTCAACAATTTTATTTTCATAAATGTTAATTCAAACAAAAACGAGATAGATAATGAGCTATAATCATGGAATCCAAAATATAGAAATACCTATAATTTTGTTTGTCTTTTTGTTGTTGATCTGCTCGACTTTTTTTCGAAATTTTTCAACGTTTTTGTGGATAGTTTCCTCGATTTGAAAAATGAACAAACTTTGTTTATGTATTTGTGGAAGATTTCCTTTTTTTCCTTTCAATTTTCCTTTGATTTTTGCACATTGGAGGCTGATTTATGAGGATTGTCGTGAGTTTAGGTTTTGAGCGTATATTTTACGTTCAATTTTAAGTAATTACTATTTAATCCAAGTTTATAATATTTTTTCAAAACAACCCAAAAATATAGGGTACTTCTGAAAGTACCCCTTTTGAAATTAGTAATAGTTATCAAAAGTACCCCCTTTTGAAATGAGCAATAGTTATCCCATTACTTATGAAATTCTTCCATATAAGTAACACAACACGGCCCATGTTTGAGGCAGCCGGTCTGTACACACCTGAATGCCTACAGCTCAATTAACGCCTCTAAACATCCTATAACCATAGAAAATGGTATGTAATATACCATTACAAATAATATTACTAATTATGAGAAAAAAAAATACTATGTTTCATAAGTACAAACAAACAGCAATAGAAGATCAATACTTCCAACTTCCCACACACACAAACACACAAACTCACAGTCATGCACAAAAAAAGGAGAAGAGAACAAAACAAATCAAATCGATCTGAACCGAACCTATTGCCTTAGACGGTCAAACGGGCAGAGAGCAAAAACTTCAAACTTCACAAGAAACCTCAACGACAGAATCCAGATACATAAATTATTGACTATTTTTGTTTCAGCCACACATGGAAGAAATTCTCTGTACTTCAGAAAACTGGTAAAGGCTAGTTAGTAATCTCGGGTTGCAAAAGCTGCATTAGTGACCACAATACATCCATCCGATGCATGCTTCGATTGTTCTGTCCCTACGTAAAATTATTACATTATAAGTTCCAGAAACACACATTAAGATTCTGCAATAGTAACATAATGTACAGTTCATGTCCAATTAATGTTTTTCCACATATAGCACGAAGTTGGTCCGATTTGTAATTATAATTTTACCTCGACCACAAAGCACATCCACATCTTATTTCCGTGGGCTTCTGTTGCGCCTTTCAAAATTATCAGACCCAAACTCCTGATGGTTTCTGCTACCTCAAGAAAATGACTCTGTTCTTCACATATCATCTGCATCATTCGAACTAAATAACCATTAAATGAAAAACAAAATGGATATAATTTCTTTGTTTTATTGTTGCCAATCTGGGTGTTTCATTTTTCTTTACCAAAACTTTATGGAGTATTAATTAAAACATATCCTTACCTTCACCAGCATTTGGCCGTTCATATTTATATTTTCTACAACTATTGGGCAAGCCTTCGGGTTATTTCCCACTTCCACAGCCCAGCTTGAACCTTGCTCATTACAGGAAGATCCTATACCCATGTCCTTGTCAAGCAACTGCAAGTTCACAGATAATATTTCTGAATATGGTTGATAGTCCATTCTATTGCTATGTTCATCGATTTTTTATTTTCCTGGCATAAATGATTACGAAAATAATAATATTTCTCTATTTGCCGTTAGCCAAATTCACAGTTATCACTTGCCAGAGATCAGAGAACAGAAATGATAACAGTGCTCATTATCTCATGAGAACTGACTCTTTAAAGAATTTGGTACTTTATAGTAATTTGTACAAACATGATTAAATATTAATATACATAGCTGTCAAAAAAAAGTAAAATTTTCAATTTTTTCCTCTTCTAAAAGTAAATTTTCTTCCCTATGAAATATTAAATTTATCTACCTTGAACAAACAAAAGTATATTAAAAAACATAGCTGCCAAAAAAAAAAAAAAAAAAAAAAAAAAAGAGGAAAAAAAAAAAAAAAAGGAAAAAAAATACAGAAGAGGAAGAAGAAGAAAACAAGGAAACAAAATTAAAGATTCCGACACCAGAGTGCTTCACTTTGTTATTACCACGCAGGGCTGTGCAAGGAGACTCAAAAAACTGCACAAAACCCTACCAATTTAAGGTTGCCCTAAGGCTATTTTTTGTAAGAGCAAAATGTGATAGAGAGCCAAAGGATTTAATCACAGAGCCATATTGAGCCACTAGTACCCATAAACAATACAACTTTAGGATAGTAATTCTTAACTCTAATTTTCTTGTTAAATATTTGATAATAGTATTTCGTTATTTGTATTTTGTCATGTGAAGTATTTTATAGATTCTTAACAAAATCACAATTTTTCCAAACAAAAAAACCTCTAGGAGAAACAGAAGAACTGCATATGAACTCCAACAACTTGGCAATCTGACTTAAATCGTCCTTCAGGCCTGAACCACAAAACAAACTAAAACCAAGAATATTCAAATTGAACTAATTGATTCATCATAAAAAAAGTTTTGGCTTTTGTTGAGCCTCCCAAATTGGTCTAAAATTCTGAACAACTTCTTTCAAAAACCAATTCTAAGAGATGCAGTTGATCTGATTTGGTATAATGCATAATGAAGTCTCTCAACACCAACTTGAGAAACTCCTCATAGCTCTTAAAATCCTAATTAATGAATAAATTATGAGAAGACTGGTTAAACGACAAAATGCCCATTAGATGAAGGTATCAAAATGATGATCTTAAGATAAGTGGTCATACTGCTATGGATAATTTAAAGATGAAAATATACGCCCACAAGTGGAGGCGGCAGCAAGTAGAAATAAATTAAGACGAGGACTTTGGTTGTGTAGACTGAGTAACATTAAAATCCATACCTTTGATGCCGAGCACCTCTTTAGCTTTTCAGCATGCGTTGTAATGCTTTGCATAAAAAGCATGTGCTTAATTGTTCTCTCCAGAAGTGAATCAATACTGCACTGTGTCCGCCAGAAATTTCAATACATAATACCATAAAAAAAATAAAAATAAAAATAAAAAAAGAGGAGGAAATTCAGGTAGAAGTTACCTTTGATCCATTGGGAACAAGCTCTCGCAGTTCCTTGATTCGATCTTGGATCAATTGTCTGTCCCTTGGCCTAGGCCTGCAGCTTTCACCAGGTCTGGCCCTCTTTTTGGTTATCTTAACCTGTTCTCTTGTCCTCTCTGAATATTCGCTCCCTCTACTAGAACTGGTTGATGAAAAGCCTTTACTAGACTGAACACCGCATGTGGCTGAGGAATTGAAGCTGTTCATTGAGTCTCGATCAAACGAATAACCTGCCGAACTAATAGAGCCCACATCACTTTTGCAAGTCTCCAATGTTTTTTCAGCAGTCAACATGGATTTCTCGCTATGAATATCATCTCCATCATGACTAATTTTACCCACCACTGCATCCAGAAGGTGCTCGGAATCGTAGTTTGCTATCAACAAATTGCTACTGTCCATTCCCTCGGAAATCTCAATAGCCATTTCTGACCCGGTTTGTTCAGCCTCCTTATCACAATGAGTATTCTGTTTCCAGAAAGCGGGTCCCAGTGCTTCATACAGCTCATAGTCAGCAGCAAAACTCATAGGTGTACTCCGTGAATCCAGTTGATTAGACTTAGTTATTGATTCTAAGTGTTTCTCTAAATCTTGATTTAACTGCATATTTGAAAGTTCTGGTGCGCAAAAGACCCCAGCTTGATCCTTACAAGCTGCAGGGTCAAGGCTTTCTGAGGGAAAGTATGGCATATCAATATCAGAATTATTGGTAGGGAGAGTGGTATTATACAAATTACACCCTGCATTGTTGGTATCTTTGACAAATGGTGCGCTGATATTTTTTGAATCCCGCCAGTCAGTAGTTCCACCTTCACACTTTGTCTCAGTAAAAGATTCCGTCTCTACTTGTTTTTCGCTATTAATCAAATTTTCAGAACCTAATGGAAATGAATTCTCGCTTTCACCAAACCCAGGAATTGAGTACTTATCTTCTTCAAGCATATTCAATTTAACTGACCTATTGGAAAAACTTCTAGGTGGAGGGAAAAAATAAGAATGATTACGAGGTTTCCCAAGAGATGGAAATATCTGAGACCACAAGTTCATCTCGTCCTCACGAAGACATCTATCCATAATGGTCATGCTGCTACCATGAAAACCTGTTGAACCTGAAGTTCTTGTGCAGATATCTGACTGGTAAAGAATATAACACCATAAGATGTGGGAAGAAAATTATTCTACTTGCATGTTTTGCTAAGCTTAAAGTTACTTATCAGTAAATAATTTTGTTTTAGAACAAATAATCATTTTGTTGGTCAAATCTAGAAATAAGTTAACTACTTAATTTAACAAAAAGGTAGAAGTTACTCTTAAACTGACTACTCTACGTTACTTAAAAGTAAGAAAAAAGTTACAAGTCCAAACATAAAAAGAAGTAACATATACTGAAATTCTTTAAAAGCACTTTTACTTTTTCAATGCTTAGCTGAAAAGGCTCATAGTGAGAAAGAGATTCACCGGACAAGAATTCTCCATGCTACTTTGTCTTGATTGGGGAACAAAACCAGCTAAAGAATCATGAAGCGTAGAAAAGACACATCTGATATGGCTGACCAGCTTCAAATCCTCTGCAATCTGATCATCCAAGCAAAGATGACAGGACAAAATACAATGCAAAAAGGATGTTAACACAGCAGAGTATGAGTACAAAAAGAGAAGCTTTTACTTAGATGGGTGCATGAAAATGTAAGAGCTTGTAGACACTCAAGCAGTCAGGATAATCCACATTGATTTTTGACAATATTACCATCTGAGTTTTCAAAAAGCAATGGCTTACTGTCTCTTAATTGCCTCATCGGCTCACATACAGGTCCAAAGGTGATTACCGCAAGCAAACATACAAACACATTAATTATGTCATATAGGTTAAATGCTTTTAAAAGTATAAGAGTGATAGCTGATGGTAGAAATAAATGAAGTTATCTGTTCAGCACTGTGTAACTAACTACCCAATAATTAAGTAGGCTAGATTAAAAATAATATATATACAATGATCTAAACATATAAATGACATCATATTACCTAAAGAGCAATTGAAAAAAGTAAGACTTGAACAGAAATACACTATCTTGTTATATATGAATTTGCGGAAAAATAATTACAGATACGCAACATTCTTAAAGTTTGAAAGCGGGACACAGAACTTAAAACATTGATGCATAGAGTTTCACGTAAATATTGGAATACATTATTGGCAGATCTTTTAGTATGTATAGAAGAACTCCAATATAATGGATGAAAATCACTAGAACAATGATCAAGATGATAAATGCAGATCAACATACCTTATGTAAGGAACCAAGTTGTATAACTCCATATGGAATGACAGCTACCACTGCAATGGTCTGCAAGAGGAAATAAATTTCACTATATATTTTCCTCCATAAATCCAATTCCAAGGTTCCATGTAAAAACACTCACTGAATGAAGCTCCATCTTCAAGAGGAAATAAATTTCACTATATATTTTCCTCCATAAATCCAATTTCAAGGTTCCATGTAAAAACACTCACTGAATGAAGCTCCATCTTTATAGATTTTTGAAGAAAAACCATGAATAAATTTAATAACAACAGGACATCATAATTTTGACTTACACATTCTCAACAATCAATATGAGACCGTTACCAACTCTTTTTGGACAAAGGTGTAACACCTCATTCAAATAATAAGATAGTGGACTAGTCTAAGTCAAGTACTTGTGAACCAAAACAAAATTTGAAGTTATCTAATGTAAATTTAAGATTGTCTTTCTTCCTTCCTAGAAATAAGGTTCTAATTATACTACACAATAAAGTGGCAGTTTGAGTTACTCCTTAAGCAACTTGGTCGCCTTTCCTATGCATCCTTCATAAAGCATTTTTTATTGCTTGACAATTGAGAACGGGTAAACCTGCAGATAATCAATTGCTACTATTCATGAACATGTTTGTTCTTTCTTTTTTAACTGGTGACACCCAATCATCTAACTTCATGTGAATTGCAGCAACTTTCAGGAACAGATAGCGCAATTTACCTTAATCCCAGCTGAAAACTGATCTTGCCAACCATCAAAGCACTGGACAGCACCAAACATATTTAATTAGAATGATAGTAACAAACTAGATTATACATTGTTTTAAGGAAACAAAGAAACTATTACACCCAAGAGACCATTTTCACTGTCTGTGTTCTGTATTAGCTTGACCTACATATTTAATCAACTTCCATAAATGAATCATCCTCCCAAACTACGGCTACATTCAAATAACCATGTCAAATATGAGGGACCTATTCTGATTCCAATCAATAGAAAACAGAACACTTAAAGCCAACATGTTAAACATTGGAACCCAAGATTTCAAAGCATTATAGTTAAACCACTCTTGAACAATAAATAGCTATTTATACATAATGGTTTCCCATAGTACCCTGCAATTTTTAACACTAGTTCCAGAGAGAAGAGTGACATAATTGTGTGATAGAGGAATTACAAAATTCTGTCTTCATCAGAATAATTTAGAATGTCCAAAAAATTTCTGACCTCAGACATGGAGGGAGAATCAGCTACATGCTTGTCCAAAAATATCCACGAATGCTTCCCAGAAACAGCAACCTGTCCTACAATGCTGCCCAGCGGAAACATATAAGAGGTAAATAGAAGAAACAGTTCTTAATTTACTGCAATTTTATTTTATACAAGAGTAGTAACAACCACCAACATTAATGCAGTATTAACAAGAATTAGCTACATAGCCCTTGTTTGAGCCACACTCTTTTCAAACTACATTTTTCACCATCTTCTTTTCAACCACACGTTCTTCAATAAAATAATATTACACGCAAACCCAAAATATTTCCTTATTTTTTTACCACATATTCTCCATCAATCTACAATTCCAAAATGCATTATTAGAAAATAATGAGACTCAAACAGGTTCATAGTGTTTGAAGTTTCAATTTCATATAATGCATCAAAGTTGTTTCGAAAATAAGCCTAGGGGCAGACATATAAAGCAATAACATAAAATGGTGGCATTTGAAGGGGAATGTCACATCATATTCTAGGCACTTTTTATAAAATGGAGTTAGAAAATATCTTAATTATCCGAGGGCCAAAAAGAAGTATCTTAATTATCTAAACTAGAATTATACACAATCTGTTAATTGAGGGAGCATGCAACATGAAATGTTACATAACAACTGGCATACCCTTCCCCTAGAGAATATGCTGGATATGACATCTTAGCCACTGCTAATCCGAGAGGATCATGTGAAAATGGACCATCATGCATGCTGCTCACTATCTCATTGAACCACTTCCTTTCTGAGTATTGGTTGTTGTCGTAATAGGCATCCTCGCATGTTAACATCCTGCATGAAATTCCAGATAAAGCAAAATGGTTGATGGCACAAATTGCACTTCCAAAAAAAAAAAAATAATAATAATAAATAAATAAAATAACTATTCTACGTGATAAATCAACCATAAAATATGACAATCTTGGGAACTAGAAATTTAAATAAACGGGAGAGATATATATTGCAAAGTTCTTCAGCAATTTCATAGATAAAGAATCTCCTCACATCATACATTGTACAAAAAGATGTCCACCTTGAGCTCATTTCTATTTTCACCTTTCACACAAGTTTCTTAAAAATATAGAAAGTTATAATATGACAGCTTCCTTCCATAGACATAATTGTTAGAAAATAAATAATAAAGACATGAATCTTGAGGTAGGTTTATGTACGTTAAATAAACTATGCCCCATGTTTGATACAGAATAAAATCTAATTTTAATTAAAACTTAAAGTCAATAATTAATTTTAACAAGATATTTTATGAGACCCACAACTTTTTGACCACACATTTCATCAATTTTTATCAAAATATACTAAAAATCTTATTTTAATCTACACCAAACAAGATTTGGCCCCTGTTTGACAACCATTATCTAGAAACATTTTTTTTTGTACTCATTTTCAACCACATATTCGTACAATAAAATATTTTGCACGTACCCAAACTTTTCTTACTCTTAAACCACACATTCTCCAAAAATTCACTATGCAAAACTTTGTTTTTGCCAAATAATGGCCATTAAACAGGCTTTATATGTACATTAGAAATCTAACCTAAGATATGTAAGTCTTTACGAATATTCAGCCTCTGTTTGGTTTCATTTTTTGGTTGCTAAATTTGCTTTTCGAAAAATGTGGTTGATAAGTGAGTAATACTTATGGATCCTACGAAATGTGTGGTTAAAATTAATATTTGACTTTAAAAAGTAGAATTTATGGAGAAACAAAGTCTCAATGCATGTATGCATTTATGAATATTCATTGTGTTACGTTCAAGGGTCGTACGTTGAGGTCACCCTATTCTAGTATAAATAGGAGAAGGCTTTAGTTGTTCTCTCGTGCAATTGTAATAAAGGTTTCATATATAATAAAAAAGAAACACATTGATCAAAGATATATATTTGTGTTCGAGTGCTCGTGTCCTTGAAAGTCCACCGTTTCTAACAAAGTGGTATCAAAGACACGTTGAATTGTTAAAAGATGGCACCAAATTGTTAAAGAGCGGTGCTTTGATCTTCCATTACAACTTTCCAGTGCTCAATGTTACCCTCAAGACTAATTGCCAAAATTACTCGTTAGTCACATAATGTAATCCAAAATTTTCCTTCTTCTCTCTTTTGTGGTACTCTAGCTGATCTCCACTCTAATTCACCATTAATTCAAATATCCGCTCTTAATTTAGCATTTTTTGCAAGGACTTTACTCAAAAAGATAATGATTTCTTTCATCTCATCTCAAAAACAATAGAAAAATTGATATTGTGCATTTTATCAAGTGAACAACTAGTGAAATTATAAAAGCAAACAAACTCTACAAAGTAACTCTCAGTTATGACTATTTTTCAAGAAATCAAACCACTAGAGATTAAGTCTATCAAAATCATGATATATCTCGCATCAAGTAAGAATGATATTCAAAACAAGATAAAGGAACAAAAAGACTCACATTCGTGATCGATGCTTGAGCTTCCAGAAAACTGCATACTTCCAACCAGTGTTGAAACAAAGGCTCCTCAACACTTGGCCCAAATGGCTTCCCATTATCCCTTCTCCCAGTGAGTTAAGATCCTAATCCCCAAAAAAACAATCCTAAATGTAATGAAACCCGAAAAACCTAGGTTCACCCCCCCTCTTTTTCGTATAACTCCAACCCCTAGCTCCCTCTGTAAGATCCTCTTCCAGCCTGTTTCCTTCTCAACCGTCGTTTTATTGGGGGACCCACCGTTGGCAGCAACATCCTGTCATCATTTCCCATCCTCCCTTCAACTCTCACTCTTGCTAAAAACCCTAATTCACCAATAAAACTGTAACCTTTCTTGATCTTACTCATAAACATTCAACAGAACACAAACACAGAGCGTGGAAATCCACATACAATTCATGCCATTCAAGAAATTTTCCATAGCTGTCGATTTTCTTCAACTTCAACAATATTATAGAAACCCTTCAGAGATCTAGAACTGAAGACACAATAGACCACGATGTTTACGAATACCAATAATCAAAATTCACTATATCAATCAGAACACTCAAATCAATTCTCCATCCATACCAGTATCTTTAAAACAATTTTCTTCAACTACGATAGGATTTTTTTTTTTTTCCCAAGAAATGAAACCCTTAAGAAATCTTGAATTGAACAAACCAAAAGTGCTATTCACCGGATATCAAGTGACACTGAGAACTCCATTTAACAGTTTCTAGGCTTTATCAGGATCAAGAATTCAAATGTAGAGAGAGATATTTTAAAAAATCATCCCTCTGTTTCCTATATTCTTGATTTTTCTTTGTGAGTTCTAACAGAAAGCTGTTTCAGAAGTGTACCTTCGGCGCTCTATAGCAAAACCATAAAGAACTGCATTTGCCGCCATTTTCTTTACTTCTAATGTTAATATACTACAAAAACAAGGGCATTTCGTGTATAGGGATACCTAATCCCTGCGTGGGTTAGAGAGAGAGGGATCAAATTGAATGAAATTCCATTTTTTTTCAAACTCAAAAGCATTGATTTATATGCAGAGCGTAAGCGTTTTCTTGAATGCACAGTGACCCGATCTAATATCAGCGGCGATGCGCACTGCGCACTACCATTTTGTCCTATCCATACGATGGCAAAAAGACCTTTATACCCTTCGCCCCCCACTCAAATCATTGTACCAGCACTTACGGTTATTGGCCTATGTGACTATGTCATCCACTGACTATTGTACACTTCATCAATTGTATATTCAACCTACCAATCAGGTAAGAGATCTGTAACAGAATTAATTCTGGTAGCACTGCAAAGAAACTAATCAGGTAATTAGGAATATGGTTGATACTTTGTGATTCTAATTGGAATTGAATCGAATCGAATAGAATTGATTACTAGCAAATTTCTGTACATGGAATCGAACGGCTCAATGATAGAATCGAATTGGACTAGAACCAATTTGTTTCGATTCGGTTCAATCTTTTTATTCTTTTAAAAAGAATTGTTAAGAGAAACATACTGAAATTATAAAAAGTCATCTTGGAACAATCTAAATTTAGTTATAGGGTAAGAATTGAGAGCCGGATAAGAATTTAGTTCTCAATTTTTAAGAACCAGAATCAATTAAATTTTGACAAGAGTTGTGTCAAATCAGTTAGTTTGGTCCACGGCTCTAATTTGGTTTAGCTGGTTCTATAGAAAAATGTTCACTCATATACGTAGAATAATATTAATATTGTACTTAATTATACAAAAGAAAAATATAGTTAACAAAAAATTTAACTTTTTCTTTCTTAATATTATCTAGTACTATCTAATATTTGTGTAGAGAGCTAATGTAATTATAATTATACTTGATATTTTTAGGCATTGTAATTTTTTTTATCTATGAGAATATCAAGAAAGTTGCAAGGTAAAATCAAGTATGTCAAAAAAATTATGACCCTGTTTGGGAG